TACAGATCCATAACCATATAACAATAAGAACACTGATTCAAAACCATATAATAATAAGAACACTGATTCAAACCATATAACAATGAGAACAGTGATTCGAAACCATATAACAATAAGAACACTGATTCAAACCATATAACAAGAAGAACACTGATTCAAAACCATATAACAATAAGAATACAGATCCATAACCATATAACAATAAGAACACTGATTCAAAACCATATAATAATAAGAATACTGATTCAAAACCATATAACAATAAGAACACTGATTCAAAACTATATAACAATAAGAACATTGATTCAAAACCATATACCAATGAGAACATTGATTCAAAACTATATAACAATAAGAACATTGATTCAAAACCATATAACAATAAGAACATTGATTCATAACCATATAACAATGAGAATACTGATTCAAAACCATATAACAATAAGAACATTGATTCAAAACTATATAACAATAAGAACATTGATTCATAACCATATAACAATGAGAATACTAATTCAAAACCATATAACAATAAGAACATTGATTCAAAACTATATAACAATAAGAACATTGATTCAAAACCATATAATAATAATAATAATAATAAGAACACTGATTCAAAACCATATAACAATAAGAGTATTTATTTATTTATTTATTTACTACTCACCTTCCACTTGCCCATCCTGTTAATAGATTTAAAGATCCCCAAATACAAAGTCCAAGACCAAGACCAATTGTTTTTATGATTGGTACTACAGTTATATTACCTGCCAAAAAAGAAACATTAAATATTTCTCATATTGATTTTCAACAGCAGGTAGTTTGCACCAAATTTCAAATTTTTATTACTGACTGTGTTCCTGCATGAAACTTACTAAATTAAATTTAATATGTTTGAAACGTTGCAATATTAGGATTCATAACAATAATAATAATGAATAACTTTTTCATCCCAAGTCACCAAGCAAAATTACGAGATATGAAAAAATAATGTTATCTATGGGAATACAAATTTGTATTGAAATTTTAGAAGACTCTAGTTTCTTAAAAAATATTTTGTTGATGAAATTTGCAATTATAGTTTTTAATTTTTGGTATAGAATTTAAAACTTTACCTGTAGCCCATAAAAATCCACCCAACATAGACAGCGGATAAAACGTTGGATTATGGCGGACTAGATTTACTACTAATCCAACTATCCAAATAGCCGATACAAAAACCCACTGGAAAAATAAACCTACAAATAAAAAAAATGTTATACTGTAAAGGGGTTAATTTCTCACTGGGTTTAAATTTTGCTTATTTCACTGACTGGAAAATGCGCTAAATTAAAACCCAGTGAATATGTAAAATTTAGCACACATTAAATCAGCAAAATTTAAACCCAGTGAAAATTAGCTTCAAAACAAATGTATTGAAAATTATGGCATTCTTGAGAATTGAAATCCTTCTCTGAGGAATGTGGCTTGTGCTACCATCTCCTAAATAAAAATTGACTAACATCTTTAAATTATTGTAGACATACATGTACACTCTGTATCTTGCTTCCACCAGGCAATGTAGTGAAAAAGTCAATTGTCTACAAAATTTTGTATTTGATGAATTTTTTGTTCTTAACAATTGTAAGAAAGTAGTCAAGAATAAAATGAGTTTGTGATTTATTGTCCAATGAAATCGTGTCTTACTGTTTTTTTTTCAAATATGGTGATAATCCATGATTGTAAAGTTGCATACAGCAGTTTCTGTACTGCAGAAAAAGTATGCTATCAACAAACTAAAGCAAACTTTGAGCTATCAAGCGAGTATTTTATTAAAAACAACATGAGAAAATAATAAAAGTTGGATACACAGTTCATCATTTTCTTACCATCTCCAGTTTTGAACTTCTTAACCGGAACAAAGTTGCTGCCAAAAAATACAACAGCAATACCTGCTGCAATAAATCCTTCTATCAGGTTTGTATCTGTTGTATTTTCAGCTGGATTTAATGTGACAATACTCGTGGTATGATTTTGTGCGCTGGTGCTAGAATTAGACTTGGCCACAAAATAGAGTACATTGTCATCATTGTGTATTTCACTGGCATTTACATCTATAAGAAAAAAATGTAGGAATTATACATTACAAGCACAATATGACACAATTGCATGCAAATACCTGTTTATGTGTATGTGTG